GCCGCCTCTTGCGAATGGCATAGGTTGCTGGGAACCAATTCTAACCTGGTATCCCCACGAGATTTTCAACAACATATCAGCTGTTTACACACTGTCACTCGCGGCATCCACAGGGAGTGTGTGATGTAACATACGTTACCGTAGTGCCAGACAGAGTTCCATTAGCCATCTCTGGATTATATAGTGCTTAAGTTAACTCACGAATGTGACCTATTACAATGGGTGAGTGTTATTTCAAACCATTGTCAAAAACATACCAGATTTATCAGGTGTAGAAGTGATAGGGTCTGAACCAGAAAAAACATTGATCGAACTAATGAACAAAGGCCATCTACGTCATCACGGACGTTGCCTCCCAGTCTTGTGAGGCGGTTCTCAGGGTGTCGTGGTGTCTGTCACTGGATTGTCTGGTCCAGACTCCATTGTTTACAGACAGCGTCGTACAGCTGCAATACTGCTGAGTGTGGCGTTCAACAAACACATACTAAAGTACTGTCGGAAATGCTAGAAAAATGCTTTTTGACTTATATTTAAAATTCAGAGGTATTACAGTTACTTAAATAACAAATATCACTTCAAGAAACATCTACCTAATGTAGACCGGGGGAATAAATTTAGAGACATGCTCTAAACTGTGTTTTTACTGATGAAAATACCAAAAACTTAGAAAAATAAGGGGTAGTTGGACGTTATTTGAAACAAACATTAACTGCCTGTGTTACGTCATCAGCATGCACGGTATCGACAGGTGAAATTGACACCTGAGCACACGCTCGGGCGAGGGGTCATCTCAATAGATGTTTTCTGCAAAATGTTGAATATGTGTACGTATAGTATACGCATCAGTTATGTAAGGGATCATTTGTGTATGTGTGTTTGTTGTGACATAAACATACGAATTACTGTACATTGGAAAGAATCCTATCACTTGTGGTATCTTATCGATTGATTGTAGAAATGTGCAACGTTTTAATAAATGTTTTGCATGTCAACAGTATAGTTCATTGAAAAAATATGGATGTAATTCGTTCAGTTTAATCTAGTTGTGAACATTGGCCAAAGATATATTATATACTTGTATATTTCTCTTCTCATAAAGTTTGTAGACCGTCCGTCTAAGCACTCCCTTGTCAAAGTTGTCAAGGATGGTTTTACGTCTCGGTTTTGCATATGAGACGGTCCCTGTCTTGTCTGATTTGTTTACAATATTGTAAACTTGTTGGTAAGACATGCCAACAGCTCTACAAGTTCTGTAATAAACCCTCTCTACACTAATGAAAGGTTTACCTCTGTCTTTTTTAAGCAGAAAAAAACCTATAAACCTTTTTCAACAATCGACTGCAAATCGTTGGCCATAGTGCACGCTGTGATAAAGATGTGCATGCATGACGGGAAACCTATTTATCAAGACTTAACATTTATATTAATATTTCTTCAATACAGAAAACGATAATTAAGTAAAGTAACACAAACATTCAACATTTATTTGTTTAGGAAAAACGTTAATTCATATTTTTACACCACCTGTATTATTAGCATAAATGTAAAGACTATTTCAGATTTCTGTTGTTGAACTGAATAAATCTTAAGTTGCTGTTTTGGTACCAAATTCTCTCCTGTAAACTGCCCTTTAAATGCATGGGGATGTTAAATCGATTGAAATAAAAATTAGGTAGACAATAGGCGAGTTGATATATTGACAACATAGTACATTTATCACCTTTATAAAGATACTAAGGCTAAAAAGCATTTTTCTAGCATTTCCGACAGTACTATAATAATATAGTCAGAATTGGACAATCGACACGGGAGAGATTTCTTATCAACGTGGAAAGGGTTTCGACGTTTCTATATATAACCACTACGGGGTACTGTGGTACCGTTCTTTCCAGGAGGGCGGTGGGGTAGCCTAGCGGTTAAGGCGTTCGCTCGTCACGCCGAAGACCCGGGTTCTATTCCCCACATGGGTACAATGTGTGAAGCCCATTTCTGGTGTCCCCCGCCGTAATATTGCTGGAATATTGCTAAAAGCCACTGGAAAAAAAGTCCATGTTTACAAGACATTTCCAATTTTGGAAAGATGATGTTTCCAAAGATTTACAATTTTGGAAATGTCCACAAGGGGATATAACTGGTGGGTGATGGTAAATCATTGTTATTTGCACGCCCCGGGACCTAATCCCTTGTTGATTGATGAGTGAGTCACGGCAGTTAATAGTCACCAATTAACAAGGCCTACTGCCTTGTTAATTAACAAGTTTTTATGCCTCTTAAAGAAGCCTCTGGAAGTAAGTTAAATCTTTGATGGGCATTAAGAAGTGGAATGCATTACTGTGACCTGATTTTCACCTGATGAAGGAGCAAGCATATGCTCCGAAACTTCGTGTTATTCACAATAAAGAAGTTGACATCCATAAATCTTGCTTTTCTTATTAAAAAGGTAAGTTATTAAAATCTGCTGAGCTGTAGGCTTGTTAATCATGTCGCGGTGTGATTATCGCTTTAACACACCTGAGAGATTCGTCAACAGTGTGGTATGCACAGGCGGTGAAACTTGTATTGTATTACATTGGGTTGGTTGCATATTGTTTTGTGTTATGCTGTCAGTTTGTATGTATGTGTGAATGAGGAACCTCACATATTATGACATTGAAAACAGACTAAACTTAACATTTATTCCATGGTCAATATCGCAATGTTAGTGATATGGTAGTATACGCAAGTTTGTTTCACAGTTTTGATAATACCTTCTTTTATGCAGATAAAATTATTAAAAAATGAACGAATAATGCCATGCTTCTCTCAAAGTAAGGGAAGATAATTCATATACTGATTCTGATCAAATTAGATATTTCTTTATCGTCCGAACAGAATTCACAAATTACGGATGTTTTGTGTGGGTGTGGGTGTGTGCATGCACGCGTGTATAACATCTAACTTGATAGGTATTAAAATCAGGTCGTTTGTAACCATAATGACTATATTGGTTGGAAGACTTGAGGAACAAAAATACTTTCACTCTTCAAAAGGAACTGGAACAGTAACATTTTTCATGTTTTCATATGAGCTTCAAAACATTGAATGAAATAAATGCTGTATGATGAAATGGATCAGAGAACATTATCATGGCATAAATGACGTGTGAATGACACATGTAATGGTCCAAAATATATAATCACTATGTTAGTTAACTCATGACCAGACACGTCAAACTGGTACCGATAGATGTATATCTAATACGTAAAAATTCAGTATTTCTTAGTACTTTCCCGGAATCAAAGTGGAGCTCATACCAACCAATATGTAGAACAGAAAAGGATGTACACAAATCAAACATCCTCAGAATTTGTAAACGTCAGAAAGGACATCACGTTTAAAAAAGTCAGGCTTGTCAATAGATAATTCGGTGAGTCATATCACCGCTTTGTCAGCTTGTGGAAGAGATACAGGTCTTTGTCGGGTACAACTTTCGAAAAATCAAGAAGCATGGCCACGGTGCATATGTGGCGAGAACATCAGAAACCTCGTAAGAATCTGGGATATAGATCATCAATGACTGACTGACTGAGTTTGGTTTTACGCCGCTTTAAGCAATATTCCAGCAACATCACGGCGGGGGACACCAGAAATGGGCTTCACACATTGTACCCATGTGGGGATTCGAACCCGGGTCTTCGGCGTGACGAGCCAACGCTTTAACCATTAGGCTACCACACCGCCCCTATAGATCACCATTGCATGTAAGCATGCCAAAAGAACACTTCTTTGCACAATACACTCCGTTGTGTCAAACAACGTATCCCTGGTGTTAGAAGTAGGTTTGATAACTAGACACAAAAACTAAGCGATTCGGATTATTTTTGGAACATGGTAGAATGTGTGAGAGAGAGAGAGCGATTTTTTTGCATATAAGGCCATACGACCCACAGCACAAAATAATACATAATATAATTGAGTTACCAAATGTGGACATAATATGGATCGAAGAAACGATTTTGCTGACAATGTTTCGCAGAATAAACATATTTCAAATATTTCACACAGTTGTTTATGCTGTATAATCTGAGGATTGGAGAGACTTTGAAGGGAGACATTGTACCCACTTGATGTCTTTGATACAAGACGTAGGCGAAGACTATCATAAAACTTAGTTGTACAAAATAGTACATAATATGGATCGAAGAAACGATTTTCGCAGAATAAACATATTTCAAATATATGGTAGAATGTATAAGTGAACAACTTCAGTTACAAACAGGCATTTGTCCTAAGATACTGCAGGAAGCGTTAGGTTAGATGAAAATTAAACTAGGCAACACTCGAACTCAGTTTCGTCATAAAATCTAAAAGAAACTCAAACGGAATATTGACGGAAGTGTTGTAAAACTAGTTCCAGGAGTAGTAAGCTGGAAACGGAAACAAGTGTCTGGAGATTCCTGGACGCCGTTTCCCGCCAAAATCGATTGAGTTACTTTAAATAGACGAGATTGCAAGCCGTTCCGTAGTAAACAAACTTGTTTACTTTTTACGATCGACAGCATACATCGGTGTCGTTGTAGTCAGCGTGAAGGTGTAAACCTCGTTAATAAACATCAGGTTGTCGATGTATAATGCAACGTAAACACCAACAGGTGTGTTGTGTACGTGTTTGACGGTGCAGTTATAACGTGAGAGGACAGCTGCCACTTTATACACATTCTGATTCAGGATCTTCATCTATACACGTACATGCTTGCTAAAGGAACAAGCATAGTACAATTTGGTGTATTTCTGTACTTTGATATAAACGTAATATTGACGGGTGGCAAGAACATTTGGGTTTGTTTTGGTGTGACGCAGCCAGTTTGAGGCGTACACGTAGTTGTAAAAACGAAGTTTGTCAAACAGGTTTTGTCTCCAGGACTTTCACGAACATTGCATAACGATATTATACAAACTCATTTTTGTATGAAAAAAATCATTGATGAATTCAGATAAAGATATGTCATAGAAGTTCCTACCTCTGAGGATGGCATTCCTCTTGGATGTCCAGTGTGACCAGACGATTAAGCCGGCAGCAGACTCCCGACAGACGACATTACTTTGGCGCGAAACAATCTCCGTGTATTTCCCAATGCCTGTTGCCACGGCGGAAAGTTCATTACATACCTCGGGAAGATTTTTCCCTGCTCTGGAATACTGCACATTAAGCAAAAGAACCATGTGCAGCAACATCAAAACACACCACGTTCCTTGCGTGGAATACATTTCTGGATTGTGTTGACTAGAGGAACAGCGAGCGCATCTGATGTACACTAAAGCTTAATCCAGTGGCAGCCCGATATTCTCATGACATCACAACGTTGACTAAATAACTTTGACCTCCTGCTTGAGCATCTCTTGGGGTCAATATTGCGAAATTCCTTGAAGCAAGATGTCTTGTAAATGACAGAAGTAATTCCACTGAGGCGTCGGTTGTGAATCGAGATAGCACCGACTGATTTTATGCGTAGATAGATTCGGAACTGGGTCCAATCAAAGTGCTTCTTCTCCCACCCTTTCAGCTTATGACGTGCCTGATCTAGGGACTTTTAACGCTATGCTGAAACCATTGTCTTTGTGTGGCCTGGTCGGAGAGTGTAAAAAGCGGCAAAGCGGTCTTGTTTCGTGGTGGATGGTACTCTCCCATAGAATCCTCCTTATCGATCCGTTATGCTAGTCCGCTACCCCCAGGCATTCACTTTAGTGTCACTCTTACGCTGGCGATGTGTCCATCTAACCGCCACGTTGCTGGCAGAGGATGCAACACCATGGGCAGGCCTGGCGTGAGACTGAAACAAGTGTCGGAATGTCGGGAGTATCGAACATTGACAGCTTCCAGGGGATTTTGACTTTGTTAAGGGGACTTGGATGATAAGTGAACTTTAGACGACCATCGCCTTGTGTAGACATGCAGTGAGCTCTGACAAATGTGTTTGTATTGTATGCACAACTGTAACAGTCGCAGGAGAATGTTAGATGTACATGGGTGTCGAGCATCACTGCGCCTTCAAGGCAGTGGATCTAGGAGTGGTGTGGAGCGTGGTGTGTGGTGTGGTGTGATTTTAAGATAAAACTTTCAGTGAACCAAACTAAATCTAAAGATATTGAATACACAGTGCCTTTTAGAAAGTACTCAAATGTAACATATGTTACATTTGGGATTGCACTTTCTTTGTATAAAAGTACTAAAGTACTAGAATCTGTACTTTACAAAGAAAGTGACATCCCAAATATAACATATGTTACAAAGATATTGTTTTTCAAGTATTTTCTTGACCAATTAAAATACTTGACGATTGAATAGCAAAGCATTCTACCTAGTAATTGTCAAACAAACATGTCATGATAATGAGTTGAGAACTCTTCACTGCCATTTACTTAGACATAAACATTTTAGAGTAGTATGCAAGGACATCACATTGGCATCTTTCCTGCTGTCTTGGCCAAGACTTTGGTTATCGGACCTATATCCGTGTTTTGATTTCATGAAAGCTCGTCTAAGACCCGCCACACTTCGAGCTTCCTGCGCATACCAGCCTGCCTCCCCGTGATATAACTGTAATACTGTTCCAAGCGGCGTTAACACCCAATTCACTCACTCACAAGAACTAATAATAGTCAGTGTTAATAGCTCAGTTAGTGTGATACTGATTCATACATATATTGAGTGAGTGAGTTTAGTTTTACGCCGCACTCAGCAATATTCAAGCTATATGGCGGCGGTTTGTAAATAATCGAGTCTGCACCCGACAATCCAGTGATCAACAGCAGGAGCATCGATCTGCGCAATTGGGAGCCGATGACATGTGTCTACCAAGCCAACAAGCCTGACCACCCGATCCCGTTAGTCGCCTCTTACGACAAGCATGGGTTACTGAAGGTTCATTCTAACCCGGACCTTCACGGGTCGATTCATACATATAACATGATATAGCTGGAATTGTACAAGGGACTAATTTCTCATGGATAAGAACGGGTTTTGCAGGTTTAATTTACTGACTGAACAATACTCTCTTGATGAGCAATTTAGATGGTGGCCCGCTGGTATTGTATGTATGTATCATGGTGTATGTGTGCGTGCGTGCGTGCGTGCGTGCGTGCGTGTGCGTGCGTGCGTGCGTGGATGCGTGTGTGTTGTGTTGTGTTCTTTTAAGGGGCTTGGTTGGGTGTTCCATTTAATGGACAGGACGTGCTTTAACAGAAATGTTCTCAATAGCAGCGTAGAGTCCACTCCCCTCTCCCTGCAATGGTCGAGACAAGGGATTTGGTCTGGTGTCAACCTGGAGTATTATCGTATTGTATGTGATGTGGTTCAGAAGGAGCTGAGTTAGGTGATGTATTTAATGTACAAACCATGATCTAACTGCAGCGTTCTCTACAGCTGCGTAAAACCAACACTCGTCGCTGCTCTGAAGACTTAACGCACCTCCTTGATCTTTTCCAAATGTCATCGATGCATCATAATTACTGCAAATGAAGAACGAGGTAATACAATATAATTCCATTGCGCCTTAAGGGCAAGATAGCTTTGGAAGTGGTGTGAATGGGCTGGTGAAATGCCCTGATGACACCAGGTGTTCGCTTGTGGTCAAATTATTTCGAGGCGAAATCAAAGTTGTATTTCTTATACTGACACTATGGTGAAATCAGACACAACACGCACACACACACACACACACACACACACACACACACACACACACACACACATTTTACAAGCGTTCTTCAATTAGATTATAGTTGACGTTTCCGTTAGTTAACAGGAGTCGTAGTTTGAAAAATAGATAATAAGTCATACAGAGGACATCAATACAAAATTAATTCATTTCAGTAAAGACATAAATGCTTTGTTTTTATACACGTGGATATTTGTGTAATGGTTGTAAAACAGGTCCGGTTACAGCTTTTTGAGAAAGGGGGGTGGGGTGGGGGGGTGAACACTATTGGGAAAGGAGGGGTGCACACTTCATTTTCACGAGAGTTTCAATGGTCATATAATAAACTTTCAGGACAAAAGGGGGGATGCGCACCCCTGCACCCTCCTTCTGGATCCGCCTATGTAAAACCGTTCTTACTTATGGCTGGAGAGGTGAGTTTAGCGTTGCGTTGAACAGTATTCCGGTTTCTTCTCTGCGAGTCAGCTTGACGTCAGAGGCCAGAAATGATGCTAGCCTGGGGCGTTGTTCACGACGATGAAACCCATGATCACAATGCAGAGAAAAATGGAGTGGAGGGCGAACCGGGAATCAAACCCACGACCGCAGGTTTTCGGCGTGCCCAAGGGACGCAACTCTGCTCAGCCAGCAGCGGCGTCTTAGTTGAATGTACAAGACAAGAGCCTGAGTGATAATTATTATTTTGATTTGCAGTGCAGTTGTTCCTTTAAATGACTAAACGGTTTGTGTAGTGTGAACATACATTTACAGATCTAGATATACTCTAACTCCTTGAAGGCGGTGGGGTAGCCTAGTGGTTAAAGTGTTCGCTCGTCAGCCGAAGACCCGGATCCGATTCCCCAAATGGGTACAATGTGTGAAGCCCATTTCTGGTGTCCCCTGCAGTGATAATGCTGGAATATTGCTAACAGCTTCGTAAAACTAAACTCACTCACTCACTCCTTGAATATATTCTGTGTTTATTCCGGTATGTAAAATATGTAATTTTGTGCATGGGTATTTTGGAGAGGTCATTTAGTTGTAACAATTTGTACCAGGTCCCTTTTACATTTGATAAAATTTGATAAAACAAAACTTAAGCTAATCGTTGCAAGACCTATTAATAGTTGACAAACCAACCTAGATTAAGTCTAGCTTTGTAAATTGCATCATCTGGACGGGAGACCAGCAGGACAGCGCAAATGGACATATTCTTCATAAACACTCCAAGAATATCGCTACTAAATTATTAAATTCTTCAGCTATATTCATAGCTGGAGCAACACCAGAGATCAATTTGACACACCACATAAGGCACAGTATACCGAGTCAACTACAGAGAACGGTTTGCGCCATAGAAAATTGTTAAAGCGTGTTTCATCTGTAAATTAACATCATAGCTCCTGGAGAGAAGCCCAGCTGAAGAGGGTGGAGATAAAAATAGCCTTACGCTACAGATGATACAAAACTGTTGACTTTGATCTGACGACCGGTACCACTGGGAAATCAGACATCGGAACTGCAGTACATTTCAAATATGATCATAAACCCAATAACCATTATTGATTACCCTGACCACGAGGAGGACCGATAAAAAGTTCCTACCCATATCCCTTTTGTTTCCTTTAATGGTCACTCTTGATTAAACACTTCTCGTGTTTATAGTTCTCCTTCCACAGGAGATTCGGTCGTGAAGTACTAAGGCACGCCGTTGTCTGAGGGACAGTTCTCCTCGAGGCAGGTTACACAATACAGGACAGACGCCATGAAGGGAAGACCCAAGACGGTCACCATTAGAAGATCTAATAACATTAACCGTCTCCCGAAATACAGACTGGGCATTGTTTTAACGCACAGCGAGAGCTATTCTTGGCTTCTACGACCTCCTTGACCTTCTCTTCTCGATCTTATGGCACATGGACGGGTTCTTACTGTCTGTTTCAAGACGCAATTGAAAGTATGTAAAATATTACCTTGCTTGCCCGAATCCAGTTTCTCTGGGACCCTCGCCTTCAGGACGATCATGGTGCAAAGGTTTCACATACTGCTCAAAACAAGTTAAGGAAAGCCCACATTTAGATGTTTGTGTGAAGCAATACACCCCACTGACAGATTAATTAAAGCCATTGTTCCTTACTTCTTTCGAGTAGTATATATGACAAATATACTGAAACAGAGATGCGTTAATGGTGAGTGAGTGAGTAAAAATCTCAGCCATATATCAAAAAGATCAAGTTTATATATATGTACACAACTGCATCACACATCTACTAATAGCTATCAGTAAATTTGTCATGCACATTTGAACATCACAACAGTCACTATTTTCAGCAGTTTAAACCAAGGGCTCATAGCAATCAGCAACCCAATCTAGAGGAGAGCTACGGTTCCTGGAGAAGAGAGATACGGTTCCTAGAGGAGAGATACGGTTCTTAGAGCAGAGAGATGCGATTCCTAGAGAGATACGGTTCCTAGAGGAGAGAGATACGGTCCCTGAATGAGAGATATACGGTTCTTAGAGGAGAGAAACGGTTCCTAGAGGAGAGAGATACGGTTCTTAGAGGAGAGAAACGGTCCCTAGAGGAGGAGAGATACGGTTCCTAGAGGAGAGAGATACGGTCCCTGGAGGAGAGAGATACGGTTCCTAGAGGAGAGATACGGTTCCTAGAGGATAGATACGATTCATCAGCTTCCTACATGATTCCCCAGTAGCGTTTACGTTAAAAATGAAGCATACAAATTAATGGATAACAACTTCTTGTTTATTGCACAGAGCGACGTTTCGGTGTAGATTCTTAACAACAGCTTGATAACGGTGTAAGAATCTGCATAAAAACGTCACTCTATGTAATAGCCATGAAATTGTTATCAATAAAGACGTATGATTCATTATTAACTCACCAATATATAGAATGCCGTGCAAAGAATTTACGTCATCATAATGCCAGCCAATCCTTACAACTACTTCTCAGTAATGGACCCGTGAAGATCAGGGTTAGAATTGATCTTCAGCACCCCATGCTTGTCGTAAGAGGCGACTAACGAGCTCGGGTGGTCAGGCTCGCTGACTTCGTTGACACGTGTGATCGGTTCCCAATTGCGCAGATCGATGCTCCTGCTGTTGATCACTGGATTGTCTTGTCCAGATTCGATTATTTACAAACCGCCGCCATATAGCTGGAATATTGCTGAGTGTGGCGTAAAACTAAACTCACTCACTCACTCACTCAGTGAGGTGAGGTGAAATTCGGTTTAACGTCGTGCTTGAG